AAAAAAGAGTAATCTGATACAATTTGATGAACTTGACCTACACCTATGGATGCAGTAGCTCAAAAGAGGGAACAAATCCTTACAGCAAGAATCATCCCACCCCCTCCACACACAGAGTAGACAGGGATGGGCAACTTGGACATTGGCTACCCAAAATGGGGGGAGGGAGGGGGTGCTACAAAGGCAAGAAGTGACTGGTTTACAAGCTTTCAAGAGGGAACCTAGAGCCAGGTTCTAGGAGGAAGGCAGAATCTCCAGTGAGTAGCAACCAATCTGTCTAGGTGGACCTGATGAAATGAAACGCAGATGGGTCTCTTGTGATATAATAATGATAATTGTTATCAGGACTGATTGTGAGGGTTGGAAATGTAAAGGTAGACGTTTTATAGTAAGGAAGGAAGTGATTAACTTTCCAGTCTAGGTGCGGAGGTCCCTCGGACCATCAATGAAGAGCCAAGAGCGGGACCCTACCCAGAGAAGCAGTGATGCCTGAGATGGAGACAGAAACAATAACGTGGAGTGATGGAGCAGCTGGAGACTTTGGATACAGAGAGGGAGAGCGACTGTGTGCTAAAGACTGGGGTGGGGGCGGGGTGGGGTAGTGCAGGCTTGCTGGGTATATACCCTTTAGTTGGTTGATGATGTATGGAGGGGATTGTAACCATGGCAATGAAAGGATATATTAATGTAAAACTAATGTTCTACCATGTAAACTATCATACAATTCACAATAAAACATTAAAAAAAAAAAAGTAGGCGGACCTGGCCCAGACCCAGAGAGGAAACTGGGAGCGAGATTTCCAACCCATGCGGAAATGAAACCCCTGGCAAAGTGGGCAAGGGGACAGAGGGCTGTGGCCACCATGTCTGTGTGACTGAAGCAGAGGAAGGTTTACCTCCGCGTGTACACCCTAAACCCTGGCCGTTTTTTAAGGCTGACAAGCTCCCCACACCGAGCCACTACTCACCTTTGTTCTCCCGCTTCAAGTGGTCGATCTCCTCATGGAGTTTGACCAACGTCTCCGAGTGCTGCTGCTGCAGAAACTGCAGGCTCTTCTCCAGGTCCAGGACCCGCTTTTGCGCCTCACCCAACCCCAACTGCTGGCTTTGCGGAGCCTGGTGTGCAACGCCAGGGGGCTGGCGCGGGCGCGAGCGCGTCGCACCGCGGGAGCCGGAGACCCCAGAGCTGGTGGGCCGCGGCCCAGCCGCCGCCCCCGCCGCACTCATGTAGCTGCCGCCTCAGTCCATGCACTGCTGCTCAGTCACCCAGCAACCCAAACCAGGCACCACGTCACCATGGAAACGGGCGCGGCCTAGGGGCGGTTCGGGAAACTGGAGGCGGAGCGAGTGCGCTCGAGGAGTGGAACTATGCTGGGGGCGGGGCCAGAGAGCTCTGTGGGTGGGATGTGTGGCTGGGGGCGTGGTTTTGTCTTTCGGGAATCTGAGGGCGGAATTTGAACACTTAAGGGACCAGGTGAGCAAATTAAGGGTGGCGCTAGGTTGAGGGGCCCGCAAAGGGGAGAAGGGGTTCCCTGGCAGAAAAGTGAATACTCCTGACATAACCTCCAACTTAAAGGTCACAGTACTTTTTTAGTACCTTGCAGTAGATTTTTTCTTTAAATATTTATGGTGGTGCAATGGGTTAAACATTGTGTCGCTAATCACAACATCAGCAGTTTGAATCCATAAACTCAGGGGGAAAGATGAGGCTGTCTGCTCCAATAAAGATTTATAGCCTCATAAATCCTAGATAGCCGTTCTTTGTCCTATAGGGTCCCTAGGAGTTGGAATTGACTTAACAGCTTCATTTTAGTAGATTTTAATGTGAAAGGGGAACCTGGTGTGGCGCTGTAGGATAAGCACTGGACTTTGAGATTGGTTTGAACCACAAGTTGGGGGTTCAAGCTCCCAGCTTCTCCTTTACAGGGTCGCTGTGAGTCTTAACCAACTTGATGGCACTTAAAGGAGCCCTACTGGCATAGTGGGTTATGCACCACCTTTCTCCTGCAGAGCTGCTGCTACAAACACAAGGTCAGCAGTTCAATTCACCAACAGCTCTCAAAAGAAAGATGAGACTTTCTGCTCCTTTAAAGATTTACAGCCCCTCTCTGCCTCTGCCAGTCTCTGTACCACAGCTGCCTCTGCATCTCTGAGTCCGAGTCCTCCATCCTCTACGCCCGGCTGCACCATGGAAGCTGCAGGCCCTAAAGGACACGGCCAACCGACTGCGTATTAGCTCCATCCAGGCCACTACGGCGGCGGGCTCCGACCACCCCACGTCATGCTGCAGCGCCGCGGAGATCATGTCTGTCCTCTTTTTCCAGACTATGCGCTACAAGGCCCAGGACCCCCGCAACCCTCACAACAACCGCTTCGTGCTCTCCAAGGGCCACGCAGCTCCCATCCTGTATGCAGTCTGTGCTGAAGCTGGCTTCTTGCCCGAGGCGGAGCTGCTGAACCTGCAGAAGATCAGCTCCGACTTGGATGGACACCCCGTCCCGAAACAAGCTTTCACGGACGTGGCCACTGGCTCCCTGGGCCAGGGTCTGGGCGCTGCTTGTGGAATGGCCTACACTGGCAAGTACTTCGACAAAGCCAGCTACCGCGTCTACTGCATGCTGGGAGATGGAGAGCTGTCAGAGGGCCCTGTGTGGGAAGCCATGACCTTTGCCAGCATCTACAAGCTGGACAACCTGGTTGCCATTCTTGACATCAACCACTTGGGCCAGAGTGACCCGGCCCCACTGCAGCACCAGGTGGACATCTACCAGAAGCGCTGTGAGGCCTTCGGCTGGCATGCTGTTATCGTGGACGGGCACAGTGTGGAGGAGTTGTGCAAGGCCTTCGGCCAAGCTAAGCACCAGCCAACAACCATCATTGCCAAGACTTACAAAGGCCGAGGGATTTCAGGGGTAGAAGATAAGGAGTCTTGGCATGGGAAACCCCTCCCCCAAAACATGGCAGATCAGACCATCCAAGAAATCTACAGTCTGATCCAGAGCAAGAAGAAGATCCTGGAAACACCCCCTGCAGGAGGACGCCCCCTCTGTGGACATCACCAACATTGCCATGCCCACCCCACCCAGCTACAAAGTTGGGGACAAGATAGCCACCTGCAAGGCCTATGGACAGGCCCTGGCCAAGTTGGGCCATGGCAGTGACCGCGTCATTGCCCTGCATGGGGACACCAAGAATTCAACCTTCTCAGACCTCTTCAAAAAGGAGCACCCAGACCGCTCCATTGAGTGCTACATCACTGAGCAGAACATGGTGAGCATCACCGTGGGCTGTGCCACATGCAACTGGACAGTGCCCTTCTGCAGCACTATCGCAGCCTTCTTCACGAGGGCCTTTAACCAGATCCGTATGGCGGCCATCTATGAAAGCAACATCAACCTCTGTGGTTCCCACTGCGGTGTGTCCATCGTGGAAGATGGGCCCTCTCAGATGGCCCTGGAAGATTTGGCCATGTTCCGGTCAGTTCCCATGTCAACTGTCTTTTACCCAAGTGATGGAGTTTCCACAGAGAAGGCAGTGGAATTAGCAGACAATACGAAGGGCATCTGCTTCATCCGGACCAGTCGCCCAGAAAACGCCATCATCTACAACAACAATGAGGATTTTCAGGTTTGACAAGCCAAGGTGGTCTTGAAGAGCAAGGATGATCAGGTGACCGTGATTGGAGCTGGGGTGACCCTGCACGAGGCTCTAGCTGCTGCCAAACTGCTGAAGAAAGAGAAGATCAACATCCGCGTGGTGGACCCGTTCATTATCAAACCCCTGGATAAAAATCTCGTTCTCGACAGCGCCCATGCCACCAAGGGCAGGATCCTCACAATGGAGGACCATTATTACGAAGGTGGCATAGGTGAGGCCAAATGTACTGCTGTCGTGGGTGAGCTTGGCATCACGGTTACCTGCCTTGCTGTCAGCCAGGTACCAAGAAGTGGGAAGCCAACTGAGCTGCTGAAGACGTTTGGCATTGACAAGGACACCATTGCCCAAGCTGTGAGGGGCCTTGTGTCTAAGGCCTAGAAGAGTTAAGGGGCATGAGGTGGGTATTCTATACATTCCTGAGAATTGTTGGCAAAGGTGCTCAAAGATGTATTGAGAAAAGTGATAAATATGTTTGAAGAAAAATGAAAAAAAAAAAAAAAAAGATTTACAGCCTCAGAAACTCTATACAGGGTCGCTATGAATCGAACCGACTCAGTGGCACACAACCACCATCACCACCAAGGTGAAAGTTGTAGTTGTTAACTGCCTTCAAAAGTCAGCTCCAACTCATACCAACCTTGTATACAGTTTCCAAGGAGCAGCTAGTAGGTTTGAAATGCCAACCTTGCAGTTAACAGTCCAGGGCTTATCCTACAGCACCACCTCAGGACTCACAAATTACTCAGTTATATAGGTTACATTTTTCACATTGCATCGTCAATCTCATTCATTTTATTCTGGTTATATAATATCCAATACTTTCATTTCCCTGCCTCCTTACTGTCTCATCTTTGCTTGAGAACAATTTTTTACCATTTAGTCTCATACAGATGACTCATTTGTCAGTTGTTCATACTGTGTTGCTATGATGCTGGAAGCTATGCCACTGGAATTTTAAATGCCAACAGGGTCACCCATGATGGACAGCTTTCACCAGTGATTGCAGATGAAAGCAGACTAGGAAGAAGGAGAGGCAGACTACTGATGTTTCTAAACGTAAAATGTTTGAACTGCTATCACATTGTCAAATATAGTACCAAAAGGTGAAAACATTATAAATAGCAGCAGAACATTATCAAATATAGTGTCAGAAGACGAGTGTCTCAGGTTGGAAGACACTCAAAATACGGCTGGGGAAGAGCTGCCTCCTCAAAGTAGAGTTCACCATAATGACATAATTGAAGTTTTCAGAACCTTCATTTGCTGTTGGAGCACAATTTAAAATGAGGTGAAATAGCTGTGAACATCTATTAATAATGAGAACATGGAATGTACAAAGTATGAATCTAGAAAAATTAAAAGTTCTCAAAAATGAAACGGAATACATAAAGATCAATATCTTAGGCATTAGTGAGCTGAAATGGACTGATATTGGTCACTTTTAATCAGACAATCATATGGTTTACTATACCAGGAAACCATGTCATTGAAGAGATTTCTCTTCAAATTGAAGAGAAATGGCATTTCATTCATCATCACAAAGAATATTTCAAAACTGTCTTAAAGTACAATGCTGTCTATGATAAGCATACACCTACAAGGAAGACCAGTTACTATCACTGTTATTCAAATATATGCACCAACCACTAAAGCCAGTGATGATGAAATTGAATTTTACCAACTTCTTCATTCTGAAATTGATTAAGCATGCAATCAAAATGCAGTGATAATTACTGGTGATTGGACTGCAAAGATTGGAAACAAAGAGAAAGGATCAGTAGTTGGAAAATATGGCCTTAGTGATAGATATGATGCTGGAGATCATATGATAGAAATTGCAATAACAAAGACTTATTCATTATAAATACCTTTTAAAAAACAACATTAAAGGCAACTGTACTCGTGGACCTATGGAATACTCAGGAATCAAACTGACTACATTTGTAGGAAAAGACAATGGAAAAGTTTAATATCATCACCAAAACAAGACCAGGGAAGACTGGAACAGACCATCAATTGCTCATATGCAAGCTCAGACTGAAGTTGAAGAAAATTAATACAGGTCCACAAGAGCCAAAATATGACCTTGAGTATATCTCACCTGATTTAGATACCATCTCAAGAACAGATTTGATACATTGGCCACTAATGACCAAAGACTAGAAGATGACATCAAGAACATCATACATGACGAAAGCAAAAGATCACTAAAAACACAAGAAAAAAGAAAAAGGCCACAGTGGACATCGAAAGAGACCAAAACCTACTCTTGAGAATAGAGAAATTAAAGCAAATGGAAGAACAGAAAATTTCAAAGGGTAGCTCGAGAAGACAAAGTCAAATATTATAAAGAAATGTACAAAGACCTGAAGTTAGAAAACAAAAAAGAGAGAATATGCTCAGATTTCTCAAGCTGAAAAACTGAAGAAAAATAATCAAGATTCAGAACAAACAAGATGGCAAATTGGGTAGATGTGCAGTGAGGAGATCCTCGACAATTAACAACAACACAGATACTGGACCAACCAGGCTCAGGGGATGGTGCCAGAACTCTAAACCACATAAAAAGG